TCTGTATGTCTCTGTATGTGTGTGTGTGTGTGTGTGTGTGTGTGTGTGTGTGTGTGTGTCTGTCTCTGTGTGTGTGTGTGTGTGTGTGTGTGTTATCTCCAGGCTGTGGTCACTCTGGGCCCCCACAGGAAGCCGGACCCTGACGGCCCCGTGTTCCCGTTCAGACCCGACAGAAACCGGCCCATTCTCAACGTCTGACCCGTCGGCTTTAGGACTCAGACCCGAATCATCAACCATCAAAACCCGAACCCACGGACCCCCGGAACATCAAAACCAGAGTCCAAACACACATCTGAACACTTAATCTGAGGGAGAACCCGCTCTGCCTCAGTCTGGACTCAGACACCTTCCACCCCACATTCAGTTATCCTAAATGATCAAAACAGGATTTTTCATATGTTTCTCAAACAACTTTATGCCTATAAAAAGCTTCTTTTAAAAGTTCAGGGTGATCCAGGAAGATTTTTGTCCCAGTCCGGTTAGGGTTAGGGTTAAGGTTAGGGTTAGGGTTTCCTTCTGATTCCACAATTCTGCTCAAACACACATCTGAACATTTAATCTGAGGGAGAACCAGCTCTGCCTCAGTCTGGACTCAGGCACCTTCCATCCCACATTCAGTTCAATCCTAAATGATCAAAACAGGATTTTTTGTATCTTTCTGAACAACTTTATGCCTATAAAAAGCTTCTTTTAAAAGTTTAGGGTGATCCAGGAAGCTTTTTGTCCCTCGGTGCTCCTCCACGCTTCACGTTTCCTCTGATTCCACAATTCTGCTCAGGTCTCTTTCTCAGCCTCAGACCAATCAAACCAGGAAGTGACGGTCACATGACCAGAAACCCCAACTCACCAGCTGTGCCACGAGATGTTTTTCCATTTTTCTAGACTAGTGTTTTCCCTCCTGATGCTCAGAGGTGGTTTTCTCGTGCCTAAACCAGCTTATAGTTTCAGTATTTTAGATAATCCCTTTCAGAAAGTCTTTCCTCCAGGTTCCCCTGTGAGGGGGGGGCTCCTTTGTATCAGTGTTTGTGGATATCGGGGTGTTTGATTCCTCTTTTTATGTCCACATCTACCTCTCCTCTGTCCTCCTCCTCTCCAGGACTATTCCTGAGACCCACAGCGGCCTTCAGGGGCCGATCCCTATGCTCCGAATCGAGTTTTGTAAAGGCTTTAAGCACCGTGGGCCTCCAGCAGAGGGGATTCTCACTTTTTGTTTTGATGCTGAATTCATGTGTTGGTACATTTAAAGTTTTTCTCGTGAATTCTCTGGATGAGTTTTACAATAAAAAAGTGGTTTTATACGCTCTCGTGGTGTCTGGGTTCACTGTGAAGGGTTTTTTATTAGTTTATTTCCAGTCCTGCAGGTGCTTCCCTCGTTAATGTGAATGAAATATTCAGCAGCTTCCTGCAGTGAAAGAATTATTCAAAAAGCAGATGAAAAAAAAAAGACCTCTGGGCCAAATTTAGCCTGCTGTCAAAACATGAAAGAGCTCAGTAAAGAAAACCAGACCTGCATCCAAACAGAAACCTGAAGCACGTTAAACATTTAGGACATTTCTTCTCCTCAGATCAGACTTTAAAGGCTCATTTCATGATTAAAACCTATTAAAAACGCTTTAACCTACTAAGAAAATGGTAGACAAACTTCACTGGAGACTTGATTGGATCTCTTTTACTGCATCCGTTTAAATATTCATATATCCATTCATTCACAGTTGACAGTGCACGAGGCTGTAAAAGCTTTATGAGACACCTGGAGTCTGGTAAACACAGAAATGTCAAATATGTGGTGTTTCCAGAGTTACAGTTCAATGTTATTTCACTCTGTTTGGTATTAAAAAGGAAAAAAAGTACATGATTACATTAGTCAAACATGGAGGAGACGTCGTCTAAAATTTCAGAGTCTTTATTCATCTATTAATCATCACTTTTCTTTCATCTTTACAAAATTCACAAAGGTCTCCGTCTTCCTGTGAGTCCGTTTAAAGCACAAAGTCCCAGCAGCCCAACCTGAAGCGGCTTCTTTCCGCCTCCGGCTGCCGTAAATCTCTGTAA